AGATAGATAGATAGATAGATAGATAGATAGATAGATAGATAGATATGGAGAGAGAGAGATGATAGGTAGGTGATAGATCAGGGGTCTTCAAACTTGACAGCTTTAAGACTTGTGGACTTCAACTCCCAGAGTTCCTCCTCCAGTCATGTTAGCTCAGGAATTCTGGGAGTTGAAGTCTACAAGTCTTAAAGCTGCCAAGTTGGAAGACCCTTGGTGTATGGGAAGATTGCTTGCTTCAAGAGATCCTAGTTTGCATCAACAAGCCAGCTTGCAGGCATCGTAGGTCAGGGCTCTTGTGTTTGCAGCACCTCCTTGTGCCCTCGGCTGAAGGGATTTCTAGGAAAACGTTTGCTTCCCCTGGTTATACCAAAGCAGGTGCAAGCCCCTGGCTGAATGTAGCCTAGGTCACAGGTCTCCAACCTTGGCCACTTTACAACTTGTGGACTTCAACTCCCAGAATTCCTCAGCCAGCAAAGCTGGGAGTTGAAGTCCCCAAGTCTTAAAGTGGCCAAGGTTGGAGACCCCTGGCATAGATGACCTCTAGAGAGGCTCTTACCTAAGTGAAAAACATTCCAGTGGCTTGCAAAACAGTTGCTGTTCCATGTTATTTGCTGCCCGAGGGAAAAAAATGGACTTTGCACAGTTTTTTATCTTTTTTAAATGAAGGAAACCAGGTCCTCCCAAAATGTTTTTTTTTTTTTTACCGAAAATTAAACCAGCCTTTTCCCCTGCATGGTCAGTTGCTGTTCTGATAAAAAAGATAACTGAGAGACAGAGGAAGAGTCTTATGTTTGAAAAGCTAACTGCAGTATTTTTTTCATGAAAATTTAGGGCTGTGTTTGAGGATCAAACTTCAGCGATGTTTACCTTTCAAGCACAAGGTATGTCGTGTGTGTTTTTCTCTTCATTGAACTGTGAGGTAGGTTCTCCCGGAAGACCCCTGTTGATGGCACTGCTTGGGCTATATAAGAATAGCAGGGTGGCAGGTGACAGCTTGCACGTCCTCATTCTGCAGGAGAGAGGTTGTCTGAGAGAAGGGAGAAATGGTGTTCTGACCCAAACCCTTGTCCAATAAAACAAACATGAACCAAAGGGAACAGAAACCTTTTAATGAGACTTACGAATCCCCGGTTAAAAGGCTGCTGCAAACTAATTAACTCTGATAAGCACAAACCTCGCCAAAACCGTGCAAGTCTGCCAAGAGTCACAGATAAGAAATATTTCACAACAAAAGAGTCTTCAAATACCAACTTAAGATACTGCAATGTCCACGAGGCTCGAGTTTCAAAATGTCTTTGCTTCCTGCAAAGAACATCCGATTCACAGCTGGCTTCTATCTGCTTGAAGAGGGGCCATTACCTTGCAGCCTTACTCCCGAGTCGCCCGTGCTGCTGCAGCTGCTCTTTCCTGCAAGCAGCCCTGCGCGCACGCACAACTTGGCACAGGCAGTGTGCCCATCCTCATGAGTGAATGATAGAAACGAGAGCTCAGAAACAGGCATTAGATTTCACTTGGCTTGTGCTGTGTTGTGCTAAGCTGAACTGTGAATTCACACAAACAACTCGAAAGGGTTTAAACTGGAAATGACAATCAAACCATAGAATTTCACTGCATTAGAAACCCGCAAGCCTCTTGGGATTCAAATTCTTGACCAGCACATTGTCCTGTGAAGAGTAGTTATGGCAATACATAAAACAATTCAAGGGGTATTTAAAAGTTTGTATTTAAAAGTATTAATTAGTATTAATTATTAATTTAATTTGTATTAATTAGTTTTGAGTTCAAATTTGGTTTAAAAGGGCCTTTAAAAAGGGGAGGAAGTACTTGCACGATTACCGTCCTCATTCCGATACGTAACCATTATAGTATACATGAAAAAGAAATCCCTTTTAAAGCAGACGTGCTCAGGGTAGGTTGTTTATTCGGCATAGCTGAATGGAGAGAGAGAGAGAACAACGTACAGATTCTTCATGAAGCACTACTAGGTGTTTCTAAGCTGACGTTTTTCTGTCTCATCTAGCTGGAAATCTACATATCAGAGGGGGCACATTCTATCGAGGAAGACAGTAAGTATACCTTCAGGTTGTGCTTAAAAGAGTGAAATATTTTCGATGGGAAAAAGCACCTTAAAACTGATCACCTCCACTTCTCCCACAACGAAGACCCAGAGAGGGTTTACACCGAGAGTATTCCATGCTTGCGGGTGGTTAAGGGTGGGAGGGTAGACCCCGGATCTCCCTGGTCTGGTGCACCAAATATTGCCTACAGATCCGTATTAGAAGAGGAATTGCATTGCTAGAGGTTAGACCTGCATTACAGGGAACTTGCTAAAATCATGCCCTCCCTTAGAAGAAAGTTTCCTGGGGGAGCAGGGCAGGTAGGATTTCCACCAGGTAGGAGCTGATGCATTTAAGTGAACCCCACTGTAAGACATTGGCTTCAACTTTTATACTGTTGCAAAACATACATTTAAAAAGTTGCATGTTTTTGACCTTACTGTTGCGTTATGCCACTGCATGTAGTAATTACGATGCTCGCTACGCAGTGGCTAAGATGCTGAACTTGTCAGTCAGAAAGGTTAGGGTTTGGCGGTTTGAATCCCTAGCGCTGTGTAACGGGGTGAGCTCCCATTCCTTGTCCTAGCTTCTGCCACCCGAGCGGTTTGAAAGCGTGTAAAAATGCAAGTAGACCACTTTGGTGGCAAGGTAGCAGCGTTCCACACGCCTTCGTCGTGCCAGCCACATGACCACGGAGGCGTCTTCGGACAGCGCTGGCTATTCACCTTAGAAATGGAGGTGAGCCCTGTAGAGCCAGGAACAGTTAGACTAGCACCTAGGTGTGAGGGGAACCTTTGCCATATTTTTTCATTTAGAGGAAAGTTGGTAGATAATAAAAAGTACCTGAGAAAAATAAAAAGAACCGTTCTAGACCCATTAAGAAAGGGACGAGGAGAACTTCACGGAGAAAAATCTGTGTACTGTATGTGGGTGCTAATAGTCAATACCAGCTTGATGGCACATGATCAGTGAAAAAAACCAGCCTGTCCCTCTGGATCGTGCCCTCTTAGTCCCAAAAGGTAACTGGACTTTGGTTTTGCTTAAAGTAGTTTTGCTTCTCATCCAAGAAGCTTCTTCAGTTCTTATCTAAGAAGCTTCTTCAGGAACTGAAGAAGTTTCTTGGATGAGAAGCGAAATGTCTTTAAGCACACACACACACACACACACACACACACACAAAAGGTCTGTCCAGTTGCCTCTTGAAAACGCACCTTTGGGACAACCGTGCGTGAGAATCTCCATAAACATTTTATCTTAGTATGAGTCAGGTTGCAGTTGATGATAACTTTGCTCAGTTTCCAGCCAAAAGCTTCTTGAGAGTTTTTCCATTGTGTTGCAGTCAACAAACAAATCAACGACAAAGAGAGAGTCGCAGCAGCCATGGAGAATCCCAGTTTGCGGGAGATTGTGGACCAGTGTGTGCAGGACCCCGACTGACTTGGAATATCTGCCTCCTTTGTATCAACTTCTTTCTATATAACGTTATCTTGAATTTAATACTAAAAATTACCTTGAAGGCATCGTTTTGAAATCATCCAGTTAATTGCAAACGAGCGTGAGCAGGCCTGATCAACCTCAGATGAACTCTATAGAATGAAAAATTAATATTCTCTTAAAGTTGATATTTCTAAATATGAATAATTTTTATTGCCAACTTATGAAAAAGAGATTGGACAACCAGTCTGGAATGATATTCAGGTCTCCTGCTCAAGCGGGGAGTTAGATTAGAAGAGCTCCAAGGTCCAACCCTTCTTTGTTCGCTTAATGTGTGTTGTAATTTTTAAAATGTGATTTTAATTGATTTTTCCGCTTCCTTAATGAAGTATATGTAAATAGCTACTCTGTTAAGGGTGAATCAAATACAGAATTGTTGAGAAAATGTTTGTTTTTTTAATACATCATTGCATTTTCCCCAGAAAGGGGAAAGGGTGTGTCCAAACAGATGAGAAATATGCCAGAATCCCCAAGGGCAAAGTTCATATAACCACATGGTGGCAGTGCTGTTGGCACTGGGCAAGAGCCGGACAGCCATAGAGGCGAAAGGCTCGCTCTGGGTCACGGAGAGCTTGGTGCCATCTCCCACCAAGGCCCAGGCCCCGGCCTCAGCCCTAGAGCCACTGCAGCCCCTCACAAAGGCTGCCTCGAGGGTGCCATTCCTCCCAGCCTGGGGCCTGAGCCTGGCGGCATCGCCCCACGGCCCAGCGCTCTCCAGCCTTCCCTTTGGGCCCTGCAGCCACCAGAGGTTTGCTCTGGGTCGCATGAGGCCTTCGCTCGGGAAGCGGCTTCCAAGAGGCCTCTGAATACGGCGTGGCCCTGGCGTGGCTTTTGAAGGCCACGAATGAGCCCATCCCACTCCGGCGTTGCCTCTGAAAAATCTCACGAGAGCGGGGCATCCTTTCATTTGGGCGTTGGCAAACGCTGGCAGGCCAACTTTGACAGGTGTGTGTCGTAAGTTTGCCATCACCCAACTCCAGCCCCCCCCTTTTGAAAATGGCCGGGGGGGGGGGCAGCCACTTCTGCTCCAAGCAGGCTCCCTATTGGAACCCCTCAAACCTCAAAAGGCGTCCCCTTTTAATTTCACTCGTTCTCCTGCCTGCAATTTCCGTCCCTTCTGGGGCTCATTGGCTCTTGAGATCAGGGGTCCCCAAACTTGGCCACTTGAAGACTTGTGGACTTCACGTCCCAGAATTCAGCATACCTGAGCAACCCAGTATATGGTTTTTTTTAGAGTACTAATTGTAGTTTGTGAAGAGTTTTCAAGGTCAGGCCTTTGCACCAGATCAGGGGTCCTCCAACCTTGGCCGCTTTAAGCCTGGCGGACTTCAACTCCTCCCCTGTAAGCCACGCAACTCATGTTGCTCTCTTCTCCATTCCTCCCTGCGTGCCCTAGGATGAAGAGGGGGCGGGCCTGGGCCTTCCTCCGAGCTCCCTCTCCCTTGTTCTACCTCTTCCCTGCTCTGCCCAGCCAGACTTTGCCCTTCCCCGGTTTCTTCCACAGCCACTGGAGCCACACTCCCACTCGCTGTCAGCCGCTCAGCCTTCCCCTCCGAATCAGATTCCGACGGGCATGACAGAAGGTGTATTGGAGACCATTCCTATCCCACCTGCCTCTTGGCTGATGCCCTCCGGTGGCTGGCCCCTTGCAAGGAGTCAGGCGTCCGTTAGAAAGATTGGCCAGGCTGTGGGGTGGGGTCTTCCAGGAAAATGAAGCATCTGCACCGCTAAAATCCCATTCACCAAGATGTGGAGTGGGAGCTTTGAGGAACCACAAAACTGGCCCAAATTTTAAGCAGCCCCTGGTTGACTTCCAAAGCCACCTGGGAGGAGTTGGATCTCACTGGGCGGACACAGGCACCATACGCTCTGATATTCTGAGTGGGTTGTAGCCACGCTAAGCAAGCACACACAGACTTAAGACAAGATGGGTACAATTTTAAGAATTTTAACAGAAAAAAAAAATACAACAGAATTAGATGTAACTTTACCATTGCAGTTTAACACACTTGAGAGCTATAGCCATTACAATTTTAGAAAGGTATTAGAACACTTTTCTCTCAAACAATGTTCAGTTTTTCTGATAGGTTGATTGGGAAACTTCATCTTGGAATGAGGATGACATTTGGTATTCTGAAGGGGACAAATTGGTCTTAAAACTTGGCTAAGTCCACTGAACGGCTGAGCTCCCGTTCGGTCTCGTGGTGAAGGCCTGGAGGCCATGGGTTCTAGCCCTGTCTGGGCCCCCAAAGGCAGCCGGGTGATTAGAGGCCGGTCCCCCTCTCTTAGCCTAGATAGGGGGTCAAAACACACCTCAGAAGAAACAAGGGCAAATTGCTTCCACAGCCTGCTACCAACACTGCACGGCCCTGTCCACGGAGCCACCAGGAGTCAAGATTGACCCAAAGGAAGCACAACCCTCTCCCCAGGCAGACAAATAAGCCAAGCCCATGCCATCCTTCCGTTAAAACGGGGTGATCTTTGATGTTACCTGAAGATTACACAAAGTTTAGATGGGTAGACTTTTGGGGGGACTTCTGCACCATTTCTCCAATTTCAAGGGGCAAGGAAGAAAGCCAAGCCACAATCTTGAGTCGGACGTATTTTTGCCAGTGTGACTAACAACGTAAGTTAGAAATGGAGAAAATGTAGATCTGATATCAAGTGTCCTTCGTTCACAAAGAAAGAGAAGGAAGCTTCTGGAAGACCTGGTTGGGCGATGAAAGGAGGCAGAACAGTTGTATAGTCAGACAGGTTTCCATCGAGTCCCTCACCTGGGCAATCTTAGGCAGGTTGGCCTCTGTCCTGCACCAGCTACACGCATCCTTTTGGCTTGTAAGTCTCAGGTGGCACCAGAGGGCAGGGCAGGGTTGGCACAGGACTGCCAGCCCTGCTGGAGGAGCTATTAACCCACCCAAAGCTGGGCGGAGTAGAAGCACCTGGCCGTCTCAAGAGCAGTAGCACCACGTGTGTGTGTGTGTGTGTGTGTGCAAGCGTGCACAGTCAGCACCAGGACATTTAACTTCACTGTCTGAAGCTCCTCACACCTGTAGCAAGAAAAATCTTTGTAGTTATAACACAACCAACTGATCAAATTACGTTCTGTGGAATGCCACAGGCCCATTTCCATAAAATATAAAAATAGTTGGCTTTATTATTCTTTTTAAATCACTCCTCAGGAGTTTTGTGCTGGCCTGCCAACACTGAGTGACTAGGACCAACTGTAGACCAGAGAGATTTCTGAGGTGGCTTCCGGAAGCCGCTTTCCTGAGGCCGGGTTGCATTGGCCCCCGCCGGCTCCTTCCTGGGCTGAGGCCACAAGGCTGCTGTTCGGCTGCCTGGAGCACAGCTCAGCCACAGGACTGAGCGCCACGCCAGGCAGAAAACATGGGTTGGTTTCCGAGAGGGCAGAAAAGCTGGCCGGCTGAAGTGGGTGCAGCTCTCGCCCGCCAGGTTCCTGGGCACACGGAGGCGTTCACTTCCGGGAGGAGCGCTCGTCACCCCGGTCCCGATGGAGCAGGCCATGTGGGTGGCAGGTCTGGCAGCACTGGACACGGACTGCGGGGAGGTGGCATCTTCCCAGCCACAGCAGGGTCTGGCAGAAGCCAAAGGAGAGGCGGTCACGCTCACAGACGAAGCCTGGGAGAGAAGAGAAGGCAGGAGCCTTTGTCAGGGAGGGCCGGTGTCAGATCCGTTTATCTGCCACTCTTCAATGGAAGAAGAAGAAGTGGGGAGGGGGGGAGTTGGTACAAATAATCCTTTCTGATGTAACCTGAATATATTAAATCCTATATTGATTCTGTATCACTTGCACATGATATACAACTGGAGGACTGGAGCCAGATGTCCAGAAACTTGTGACCTCTGAAAGAGAAACAGGATGAGAAGGGACCATAAAAATTCCAGCCCTGGAAGAAACTCCTGAGAACTACGCTAAGATAAGTTCCCCGAGAAGGGGAGGGGGGAATTAACTTGTTGGTTCTTTGTTGGACTAAATCCACATCTGAATGAGGGGAGGGGTTTTAACTTCCTTTATCTATGACTGTAGGCCTAGGGGGTATCTTAGACTCTGCTTTGCCTAGTGTTGAGATAAAACCCCTTTCAATAAAGGATTCCTTTTCAAACACCTAGTTTTCAGAAGTTCATTCTTTTCGGTTGAAGGGGAAAAGTCCAATGGTCACAGCCGACCGGTCAGCCTCTCCACATGTCCTGTTCTCCCCTCCTCAGAAGGTGGGCTGGGAGGGGCACGGGCGCTGTCTCACGACAGACTGATACAGAGGCGGGGTGGGATGGAGTTTACCCAATCTCACTGAGTGGCAAACATTGGTTTGGTTTGCACCTACTTTTCTCACCTAACTGGGTCAAGAGGTTCACCCAACCTACAGCCCCATCATTAACCCCACTAAGCATGTTGTGTGACCCTGATCAACCTCTGCATCTTTCTTCACAATGGCAATCGCACCCAGGGTGAGTGTGATGAGCCGGGGCGTGACACAAAAGCAACAAAGTCACAAAAATAGATATAGTCCCTTTAATGCCTCCAACTTGGCCCCCAATGTCCAGTTATCCTTGGCTGGAGATGAAACTCTTCCAAAAACAGTCTATGAAGGGCAGAAATGCAGTCCGAACCCAAAGTAAAGATAATTAGAAATAAAAAAACCAACACAAACCACACTGAAGTAATTAACACAGCAGGCCAGGAAGATAAATTGCAGACTTTCAAAGGATAACTCAGCACCCACAGTTGGGAGGACGCCAAAACCCAGATGAGGCTTGACCAAGATAATGCACGCTTTACTTCCAGCAAGGAACCGTGTGCAAATGTCCCACTTATATCCTGTTTTCCCAGCTGCAATGAATGAAAGGGATCAGGGCCCTTTTCTCTCCCATAAGCCATGTTGCTCCCTTCTCTGTTCCTCCTTGCATGCCCTAGGATGAAGAGGGGATGGGCCTGGGTCTTCCTCTGAATGCCCAGCCAGACTGTGCCCTTCCCCCATTTCCTCCACAGCCACTGGATTCACACTCCCACTCCCTGCCAGCTGCTCAACCTCCCCCTCAGAATCAGACTCCAACAAGGGCATGACAATGAGGGTCTTGGTCCATACCGCTAAGGACAGTTTGCCACTTAGTATAAACTCCCTTTGGGCACAGAGGATTTCCATCGCCACCATTGATATCTACCGCTGTGTTCTGTTTCCACCAACAGTTTTAAACCATCAATTGTCCCAAGTGACTAAAGCAGTTCCTAAACCACTTGAACCAGGTAGCAAGAGAAAGTTGTGGCAATGCCAAATAGCAGCGATCTACTCTGCAAACGCCGTAGGACGGGGTTGGAGTCGGGGGGAAATCCAAACCGAGTCGAATCATATGGGGAATACCTGGATCAGCTTCTCAAAACTAGAACGAACAGGAAGCACGTTGTCAGAAGGTTTGCGCAGCTTAAACGAATTTGTTCTTTACTGCTCCAAAAGGCAAGACAAGAACCAGAGGTTAAGAAATTAAAAGGGAGCCATTTTTGCTCCAAGATCGGATGACACATCAGGATGGAACCTTCCGTCACATTGCAGGGGCCTCCCAGATGACATCCAAACCTGTGGCAACCATCTCACCGCACAACGCTCCCCTTGAAAGGCTACAATCAAGCAGGAGGTGAATAGTCCCCTCTGAGGAGGCCCACAATCCTCCTCACCCCACCCCCCACCCACCCCCCGGCCACAAAAGGAATCCTTGCTGCAGGAAATGAGACCCAACGGCGCTTTGAGCCTTAGCCAGGGGGCTGAAAGTTTATGTCTCTCATTGAAAAGTGGCATCTAAAATGTCTCTCGTTTTTCTAATCCATGGAGATTAGAAACAGACACACACACACACACACACACACACACACACATACCACCCCGAAAGCAAAGGTTAGGTGGGCCCTTAACCTCTGGTGGGCCAGCTCTGTCAAAGGCCGAATGCTGCCTTGCGTTTCATAAAACCCCCATCGGGATGTTGTCTTTCTCTATACTTTTTCTGTGCTGTTCAAGTGATTTGTTTGGGTAAGCGCTAGTTACCCGCATCAAACCAAAACACAAAAGGGGCCTCTCTTGTCAGCTTAAAAGAGGGAAGCGGTTGTGTCCTCTCGTTCTTTTTTTTTTAAGAAGCCTGCATTCAGTAGAAATGCATGAACTGGGGTCAGGCTAGATGAAGACCCCACACGTTGGGATCTTGATCCAGCCAATCTTTTCCACCAAGGACACAAAAAGCAAAACCAGCCAGGCCCACAGCTGAATGCACAACCTCTTCTCTTCCCCTCCATCTCCAGAAGCAGAAGGTCTCACGCTCCCTCCGGTCTGCCTGCCAAACCCCCGGATGGGCCCACTGTTTACGGCATTCCTGGTGGAGATAAAACCTTGGAATGCAGCCGGAGGAAGAGGCCTGTCTCGGGTTTCTCTTCTGAAGCAGAGCAGGACCCTCCGAGGCCCAGGAAGAGAAGAGGCAGGGAAAGCCTGATGGTCGGCAGAAATGGGAGTCAGGGTCAACCTGGGACGCTTGTCTCCGATCCAGGGGCTCGCAGAGATCAGAGGTCCTAGAGCAGGGGTGCCTGGGGCCAGATCCGGCCCAAGTGGCCACCCTGGAAAGAGCGAGGGATCGGCCTGTGGTGCCTCTGCCAGCAGAAATGGGCTCCCAATCTCCGTTTTCCGCTGGGACGGCCTCCTGCAACCCTCCGCCAGCACTGGCAGAAGGTTGCAGGAGGCCGTCCCAGCCAAAAACGGAGATTGGGAGCCTGTTTTCACTGGCAGAGCACTCGGTGCCCCTGACATGAATGAGGTCAAGCTGGCCGTGCCTACCCTGGCAACGCCCACACTATCCCCCCCCCGTGCCCGAGGTCAAACACAACCCTGATATGCGACCCTCAATGAAATCGAGTTGGACACCCGTCATCAAGAGAGTCCCAGCTGTGGGTGGATGAACCCACCTGTGTTCTGCCGACAAACCAGGTAACCAGCCCAGAGGCCAGAGATGTAGTACCCAACTCCCCAGTCATTTGCCATGTGGCTTAAAGAGGTCTTCTCTCAAAGTCTGCCCAAGTGGACAGCCCTGCCAAACCTTTGCCAGCGAGTTTCACTGATGCCAATCCAGAAGTGGCCCAGATGCCATAAAAAGACTGAGCAGTCACCTACATTTGGAACAACTGCACACACACACAGCCAACACTGGCACCCTCCTTATTCGAAGGGCACCCCACAGGCACAGCTGGATAATTGTCCAAACAGCCGAACGCCCAGCAAGAAGGGGCTCCCGGTCATTCGGCCATGAGATGGATAGTGCCCAGCCACCCCAGACGCCCACTTACTTGCTTCGCTGGCAGAACAGTCCTGGGCATTGCACCTCTGGGTCTTCTCCGGCCAGGGTTCGTGCTCACACAAGCTACTGTCTTCTTCTGCCTGTCCGGTGTTGGTGTTCAGGCACTTCACCTGCCTCCTCTGGATGCCCTCGCCACACGTGGCCGTGCACTGCAGGGAACAGAGCTCTCTGAGCCCCGGCTTGTCCTGCTCTGGAGGCACAGGCAGGCCGGGGCCGTGTCACAGAAGGGGCTTACCTGCCCCCAAGATCCCACTCTCCACTTGGTGCAGGGCTGGGTGTTGCACGGTCTCGTGCTGTTTGGCCGGAGTGCTGGGTCACACCTCCCCATTCCAGGACACGTCACCAGGCGCTCTTGCTCGCCTCCTCCACACAGCTCAGAGCACTGGAAGTGTGGAAAGAGGCATTTGACTCAGAATCCGCTAGGACGGCCTGGCCCCTTGGCGCTCCCTTCCTGCTAAGCCATCACAGGAGCACCAGGCCATCTTCAGTGGTGGAGCAAACGCAGCCAGGACCCCCAACCCCCACGAGTCAGCAGGTCACGCACTGCTGGCTTCAACTTCAACTGGAGATATTCTGGTACTGCAGGAGGCCCTTCTTCTACAGCCCCCGAGTATCCTCCTTGGACGTGCTGGGCTCCAGGGTTTACAGGGGGAACGAAGCGGGAGAACGCCGTGGGCTTTCCTTCAGAGGGAATGGCTACCCAGCAGGACAGCAGCCGAACTCCCCCTCCCCACCTGCCAAAGAGCTTCCCAGCCTGCCCAAGGTGGCCAGCTTCCATCGGCCATGTGTGTTGGAGGAAGAGGACCAGGGAATGAGGGTTCAGGCTGCAGTCAGGGTCTTCCTCCACCTCCAGTGACATTCAGCTCACCTCTCTCCAGGTGGAGGTGTACCAGCTCAGACAAGGCTTGGTGTGGCACGGCAACTGTGTGGGAGGCTTGTGGGAAGCAGCCTGGCAATGAAAGGGTCGCAGGGGCCGCTGGCCCCGTGTGTCAATGCAGTGGATGCCCCGAACCTTCACACCTCCTCCACAGGTCCTGGAGCACTGGTGGCAAACCAGAAAGAGCAGAAAATAAGCCACAGGGCACCAAGCAGAAACCTGGCCACCAAGGGGCCATTTTGGCCTGCCTTCATGCCAGACACCCACTGATCCTCAGGGATACGGATAAAGGCCAGTCCACACTCTGCTCAGTGCTGGATTTACCACACAGGGTGGAAGGAGAGCGGCCCTGCAGGTGGCTACTCAAAAGAATCCCCTTCCTCTGGAGGCCACTGGCTCCCCCACAAACCAACTTTATGGAAGTTTCCCAAAAAGGCTGGCTGGAAGTTGCTGGTTTGCCACGTCTACTTCCTGTTGGTTAGGCCTGCCTTTGGAAATAACCGAAGACCATCTAGAGTGCTTCCTGCTTGAGAGCCCTCCCGATCCTTTAGGCTGATTCTCACCAAATAATCAAGTATCTGGTTGTCAGCTCCTGTCAAAATTGCTCAGACATTAGCTAGTTGGCTAGTTAGATCCTCATTCTGGATACAAACAAGGTTTACCATTTCCCTTCAGAATTGGAGCTAATGTGTTTCTCTCTTGGGAAACTGTTTTATCGCCTTTGCCTACGTCCACTGAAACCAAAGAAAAGACCTGTGAAAACACCCCCTCCCTGTTCCTCGTTTGCATGATTCTCTGGCAATGCTCCCCCAAAGGAGCCTGTGTGCTGGGAGGGCGCAGGAGCAGGAAGGGGCGTCAAAGAGGCAGGAGGCCTCTTGGTTTTGAGTGGCTTCCCTTCGTGAGATCTACCCCTGGTGTTTAAGAAACGAAGGGAGGGAGAGTTAAACTAAAACCCAGTCAACTTATAGGTCGCCTTGGCAGAGTCTCGACTCTAGGGCAAAAGGGAAAATCCACGGGGAAAAAGGAGACCCCCCTCGCGTGCACAATTCATCAAAAGTCTCTGTCACTGGGATGAGGTCCGTCTACCTTACTCCATTTTCCCACGTGCCACTTGGAACAGGGCCTCAGGTAACAGCGCCGGGCAGGAGCTGGCTTTCTAGTCAGGTCACAGTCGTTCTCATTTCCGGTGCTGCAGTGCACAACCCTCCAAACAGCGCCAAGGCCACAGGTCGTAGAGCACTAGAAACGACGGGAATCCTGTCAGCCTCTTCCAAGAGGAACTCACGCCGCCTCTGGAAAGCTGCACCCCGCATGGTATCCCACCTCCTCTTCCCCTGGCCTTCCACGATTCACAGCTGCCCAGGAGACAGGACACTCTTTGCACAGGCTTCAAAGCCAAGCCCCACAGTCAAGGGAGGACGCGGTATTTCTGCAGCCCAACCCCTTTTTATCTTTTTGCGTCCACAAAATGACCCATATTCGTAAAAAGAGCCCTGGCTGAGGCCAGAAGGGAGAAGCAAAATGACCGGCCAGAGATCTGCCCAGTGATAACAACCTTGGCTTCACTGAGAACTTACCTCACTCCAGTTTCCAGCTTCCCAGCTGGCATTGAGAGCAGCAGGAGGAGCTACAGAAGGCGCCATCTTCTCTTCCGGTTCCTGAAATTGGACCTCAGGCCCAGCACCTCCTTTACTCCTGGCAGTTGGCACGCGGGGAGGTGGACTTTCGCTTCTCTCCCTGGAGAACTCCCGGTCCTCAGGGGAAGGTAGCGGCTTAGTCTCCAGGTCTGCCTCAATCGTATTGGATTGCTCCTGGTGTGAAGGAAGCAATGCAGAAGGAGAAGAGGTGGGGATCCTCCGATCCAAAGAGTTTGATTCAGTTGGTATCTGTGGCGTCAGAGTGACCGGATGGTGGAGCCTCTGGGTCTTTCTGCTGGATCCGGGCAACTGGTATGCAGAAGTGGAGGGAGACGCCCCTGGTGAAAGCTCCACGGTGAGCCAGGGGGCCTCCTTGAGACGGTCCCGTCCTGAGATGCTGCTCGCGTCTGCATCTGGAACAGAGACAGCCCAGGAGGCTTCAGCCGAAGCGGAGAGACGGTGGGCGAGGTGGTGGGGTGTCCCGGTGATTCTTGCAGTCGTTCTGGCAAATGTATTTACCAGATTTTCTTTCGCTGTATAAGCAGCATCCATGTTACCTTCGCCCTTGACCGTGGCTCCGTCTCCGTTGCTCTGCTCTCTGCTGGTTTCTTCCACCACTTCCCACAAACCATGATCGCCGCTATCACTCAGTTCAGGAATCTTGAGGTCCTGCATCCTCCCACCAGGAGTTTCTGTGTTGCTTGGAGTCCCAAATTCATTTCTGCGATCACCGTCCTCGGCAGAAGACATTGTTGGAGCAAGTACATCCAAGTAAGGAGAGCTGATGGAGGAATCAGGTCTTGAGGTGCTGGCTTTCAAAGAAGTATTCGTAGAAGGAGGTTCTTGAGTAGCACCACCGAATACGTGGTGGTTGCTCCCCAAAGGAGGAGGCTTCACTGTTGAAGTGGAAGTATGATCTTCCGAAAGTGATGGCTGAACGGAAGCAGGAGAGCTGGTGACAACTCTGGTAACGAAGGAATCCTGCAAGGTGCCAGTTGTGCTGCTGTCCTGAACATTATCATGGTCCTTCTCATATTCCTGCCCAACGGTAGGAGGCGTGGAGCCTTGATCAGCCAATTTGACTTTCAGGTCTGTGGTGGGAGGAAGACCAGGAAGGGTTTCTTGGGGATCCGCCTCCACCTTGTAAGAAATCTTGACCCCAAAGTTGGGCTCCAAGTCGTCCCTTTTACTGTCCTTTTCCTCCTCCACCAGTTCATAAGCCAAATCCTCATGAAAATTGATAAAATTATAGTCATAATAAAAGTCATCCACAAACACGTTTCCCTTCTTATGGTTGTTGGGGGGCAGAACTTCCTCTGTAATAACGTTTTCAGATTTGGGAGCCGAAGGACCAAATTTGGGGACATGATAATTGGGGATGAAATCAATTTCATTGAAGTTGATGGAGGAGCCGCTCCCAGACCAATCGGGAACACCGTTCTCCATCCTGCTCCAACAGGGCGAGGCCCAGCAGTCGACCTCGGAGGCTGGTCTTCCTGCTGGATCACACTTGGCTCTGGGGCCAGTGGGGCAGAAGACGGGGCGCCTCTGAGTTCCTTTCCCACAGGTCACCGAGCACTAGGAAGGCAAACCAGAGGAATTCCAAAAGTGAGACGCTGCGAGGTGAAGGCCCTTGTCATAAGCAGAAAAGACTGGGGGATTAAAAAAAAAACAAACCCAAGCTAGCCTCCAACTTCAACATTCACCTCTCTGGGTTTCAGAATTAACTTTGGTCTACAGAAAATCAAATCTGATTATGGGTCAAGGAACACCTTAAAAGAAATGTCTAGCTAAGGTTAGAGGATTAAGAATAGATTTGCTCTCTAGAAGGAAGGAAGCTGCTTTGCTGAGGGAAAACAGGGAGATCTGAGAACTTTGGCTGATCCCACAGTTCAAAATGATCAACATTTTGCCCGAGCGGAGATCACATCCCGTCTTGGAAGCGGGAGGCTCAAGGACAGGAAAAAAACACAGAAAAGAGTGACGGATTCTGTAAACTGGTCCCAAAGAGCTATGAGAAAACCCACAAGTTCCCGCCAGGCCTCTGTCCTCCTTCCTGACATCTCCAGGTTCCAACAGCCCTTAGACCAGAGGCCCCCAAACTTGACCACTTTAAGACTTGTGGACTTCAACCCCCAGAATTCTCCAGCCAGGAAGCTGAAGTCCACAAGTCTTAAAGTTGCCCTAGTGCTTTACAGAACTTTACAGCCATCTCTAAAGCAGTTTTCAGAGTCAGCCTATTGCACCCAACCGTTGGGCTCCTCCTTTTACTGACCTCAGAAGGATGGACGGCTTAGTCCGCCTTGAGCCTGGTGAGATTTGAACTGCCAAATTGCAGGCAGTTGGCAGTCGGCAGCAGGAGCTTGCAGTACTGCCCTCTTAACCACACCACCACTATAACTTTTGCAATGTGACTCTCCCACACCTTTGACCAGTTGCCTGTGGCCCACGGTGCCAAGCAGAGGACCTCGCGGTTGCAAGCAGCTGTGGCCTCTGGCTTGGTGAGATGTTGGCACTTGTCAGGTGGAAGAGCCTGCTGTTCGTCCAAGGCCACACTCTGAATACAGAGGACAGTCCTTTTCATCAGTCCAGAGTCACCACAAGTGGCCGAACATGCCTGCCACTCACCAGCCCACCACCTGTGGAAACACACGGAATGAAAGGTTAGGTCACCACAAGATCCATCCTGGACCCCTACCGGACCTCTTGCCACATCCTGGGCTGTTCCACTTTAGACTGAGTGCCTGAGAGGCCAGGTGGCGGCGTGGTCTTTTGCTGTGTGAGACCACTGCTTCTAGGGCTGGCTTCTTCACGGAGATGACCTCTGGAGCCGTAGAGGCCCAGCCTCGTGTTATGGCTGAGCCCCGGATTCTGCAGAATTGGCCAAGCAACGTTCTTCTCCCAGATACTGATTTTTGGGTAGAAGTTTTCTTTTCAGTTGTGGAGCATCCTACATTTTGAATAGCTTGGGGTTAGCCCAAGAGCTGACCTGGCTGGACAGGGCTCCTTGTTGCAATTCCTTCGCTTGTCGTCAGGCCGGCTGAGAGCATCGCAGTGCTGCTCCTCCACAAACCCAGCGGCTTTCTCAAGGCAACGCACCATCTGTCTCTGGACCCCTGAGGGTAGGAGGAGAAAGCGCTTAGATCAGAGGCCTCCAGACTTGGCAACTTTAAGACTTGTGGACTTCAGCTCCCAGAATTCTGGGAGTTGAAGTCCACAAGTCTTAAAGTTGCCAAGTTTGGGGACACCACACACACACACACACACACACACACACACACATACCTGGCTTAGATAGAGGGAGGGACTGGAGCTTTTTGTCCAGCTTGTAAATAGATTTACTGCAAAATAAACCCATCACATTCAAGTTGGACTGAAGTCTTCCACAAAGCACACAAGGAACATCCTGTGAATAAATGCCTGTTCTCAGGGCCCAAAGCCAGTGTGAACCTGCCAGGGTATAATTCATGAACTGGAACAGAGCCTGGTAACAAGGTCACCCAATGAATAGGCATAGCAATTAAGTCAGCCAAGGAGGACTGTTTGGAAACTGAAACTGGAAGTAGCCTAGGCGTGGCTCTATATGAAGTTCTGCAGCCCTGTTGAGCTTTGAAGGTGAAACCGCGTCTCTCTTCTGCTTGCCTGCCCAACTAAAGTGAAACTGGAGCTCTGCTCTGAACTTGCAATGTGTTTCTGTCTCAGTTGGTGCTCCATGTTGGAGAAATTTACAACCGGTTTGCAAAATCTACTTATTATGTTTATAAAGAGGTTAAATGAAGCATCAGCCGTCAGTGTTTATTTTTCTGGCGCTGAATTTACACTGCAAAAACTCTGAACAGACCCTTAGATTTCTGAAGTGCACTTAGGATCTCGCCAAAGGAATCAGCTGCCACCGTCTCTTTGCTGGCCACCAACAAGCCCATTTCCCGACCCAGACCCCTGGCCAAGCCCCGCCCGGCTTGCTGCCACTGAGCACCGGGAAAAGTGACCACGGGGCGCCAGCTCTGCCGCCCGCTGCCACCTAATTCTGGATCAATGCCTCTCCTTCCACAAAGGCTTTGCAAGGCAGCCAAAACACACACACACACACTTCCCTAGGGATGGAGAGCGCACGTTGGCCCAATGAACAGGAAATGTTCCTGGGGGGGGAAGGGGGGTGGGGTCATGAGGCTGGAGAATCCCCAGTAGGGAGGCAACTAGCCAAATTCTGATCTATTTTTGGCAGCTCTTACTGCTGGCAGGAAATGTAAAAAAAAACCTGCTTGGCTG